AACTCGGGTTTTTCGTTTATGCACGTACTCCTTTCAGGATGGCCAAATGCAAATGTATGATATGCAACCGTCTAGCCCTACGTCAGCATCACCACCACCGAATCACCAGGTTACCACATGGTTTTTTTAATTGCTCTAATTGTTCTCAAGCAATATTTTAAGGTAGTCGTCCGACGGCTCAGTGACTACAAAGTTCAAGAATTGAAAAACGAATGCAAGAAGAGGCAATTACCGGTATCAGGTAAGCAGTTTTTATAATTGCCTGTTTTTGGATCTGTTTCTTAGCTGCTCTTCCCCGTAACAACAGTTCCGTTTTACGGCTTTCATGTTTCGACTTTCTCATCTTCCGCTCTCCACTTTGCAGCACTACAACTTATTTGTGCTTAGGTGCAAACACATTTTATTGGAACGTGTGATGGATAGAATCTAAAGGTTTTTGCCACATATTAATAAAATGCTCTGGTCTTGTGGGAGAGTTGACATGTTTTGACTGAATTTTTCGTTTTTAAAGGGTTTAGTAACACGTTGGCTCGCAGTTCATTTTTGGTAGCGTATTCCGTATTCCTAGAAATGCCTTCCTCTTTTTCGCTTCATAGAAATAACTGGCTGCTTATCTGTGAAGTACCTTTTCTTCGGACCCTGCCTTAGGCAATTTTTTTCAGCAGTACGATTTTTGCCGATTATAGTTCGTAGCATGGGAGAGGTAGACTAAATGTCACACATTGCGTTTCGTGCGCGTCACAATGTGGCGCACGATTTTTCACAGTACAGCATCCTTTTATTTGACTTCGTTGGCACCTTCAATGTTTCGTAACTACTTGCACTCGTATCCTTAGTTCGAAAAAAAATATGTGTCATATTGATGAATTGTCGGGTCAATGATAATTCGTCAGAAAAAAAGAAAATATAAAAAGATAGAGATGCTCGCACAACAGCGGTTCGAAATTGGTTAAGACAACATCTGGACAGGAATCCATGTTCCAATTCGTATGGTGCATACAGTACGAGTATTTCATGCAGCTTTACATGCCTCGTTATTTTTTATTATCGATAATTACCGATAATTGATACTTTGCCAATAATTCAG